CACCTGTGTGCTCCAGTATCCCTACAGTGGGGTCTCAGGAACTGCAGCTCCTCAAGCTGGTCCAGGACCATGGGCCTTTCTGGTCTTCCAGTCTTGGTCCTTCTGCCTGGACCACAGTGCCAACGGGCGAGAAGGAGGCAGACCCCAGGCCTCATGACCATGGACTCAGGTAGAATGACTGACCTTCTGGGCCCCAGGGAGGTGCTGCAGGCCTGGCAACCCCATGGGGTCATTGCCCTGCTGAGTATAAATATCAGAATGAATTATATGAACCTTATGGGAGGATTTATAGATAAAAAAAATGATCAAATACAAAAAAAAACCATTGATTATCAGCATGTTCATGCAATTCAGCCTAATACTTTGGATCTTGGCCTCTTTATCCTATTTTCTAAAAGCACTTTACTGATTAGTATTTTTTAAGCATGGGGGAGGGGTAGAGGTGGATTGTTACAACAGAAGGTGAGGCTGAGGACATGGGGACTCCTGGCCGTGACATTCCAGGGGAGCCAGGGGCAGCCAGGGCTGCAGGGGCACATTGGTGCTTGAAGAGGAGCTGGGAGCGCACAGCCAGGGAGGTTCACTGCAGCTTGCTCTTCACTGGCAGGCCCTGCTATGCACTTCTCCTTTATCCTTCTTTAATCTGAAACAATAAATCCTTTTGATTAATTACAAGAATTTAGGTGAGAAACCCTCAGGCTCCAGAAAGGTGGAAACTCCAAAAAGAAACATCTCCAGAAAGGTGGCAACTATATAGATTGGGCACGTTCCAGCAAACTACCTATAACTCTACTTCAGCCATACAACCAGTGTTTGTTGAGCACCTATTGTATGTCAAGCCTGTGCTAGAAGTTTGAAGATACAGTGGTGAACACAGTGCCCTGGACCTGCCCCCCTGGAGGTAAAGCCAAGTGGTTTCTAAAAATGAAACAACCAGGGCAGCCCAGGTGACTCATCGGTTTAGCGCCACCTTCAGCCCAGGGCCTGATCCTAGAGACTTGGGATTGAGTCTCACATTGGGTTCCCTGCATGGAGCCTGCTGCACCCTCTGCCTGTTTCTCTGCCGCTCTTGCTCTCGTGCTCTCTCTCTCTCTCTCTCTCTCAGGAATAAATAATAAATAAAATATTTTATAAATAAATAAATAAATAAATAAATATAAATGAAAGGACCAGCCAAAAGGTACACACGACCCAAGTGTCCATCAATGGATGAATAACTAGACAAAATGTGATGTATACCTGCAATGGAACATCATTCAACCTCAAAAAGGAAGAAAATTCTGACACAGGGTTGCAACACCTGAGGTTATTATGCTAAGTGAAAAAAGCCAGTCACAAAAAAGATCAATACCATACAATTCCATTCATATGAAGTATCTAGAGTAATCAAATTCTTTCTGAGTCAGATTCTCAGAAAGTAGAATGGTGGCTGTCAGGGGCTGGGAGGGTACAGAGGATGTATAGATAATTGTTTAATGGGTGTTGTTTAATGGGTGCAGAGTCTGTTTTACAAAAGGAAGTTCTAGAGACTGGGTGTACAACATGAATGTGTTTAACACTACTGAACTATATACCTAGAGATAGCTAAGATGGTAAATTTTATGTTATGGATATTTTCTGCAATTAAAACTTAATTTTAATTGAAAACAAAAAAGGAAAGAAAGGACTATGCACACACATAGACCAGAACTGTTGTCCCAGCTCGGCAGGAACTGCCCAGGAGCCCAAGATGAGGCCTTAGGGAGGATCAGTGATGTGTCTGGCCCTGTGGAACCCCCGAATGCAGCTCTATAGCATTTCTTGGTCTCTCCCACTGAAAGCCACTTAACAGTGATGTAGTTTACATCTCATTGAGTCACCCTTGATGTTGTCCTGCCCACTCCTCTTCAAACAGCACGTGACAGTGTGCCCCAGGGGTGACAGTGGGGTCCCCATCCTCCCTGCTATGGCACTTAACTCTGGTGGCCTCGGGTCCTGACAAACACCTTCCCCACACCCAGCAGCCCATGGGAACTGCTCCTGAGCAGGGCCCCGAAGCCAGACTCTAGATCCCACCAGGAAGTATAGTGTGGGCTTCCCACCTTGAAGACACTTAGCACTTCACTGGATATTCAACTTTTCTTCCTGGAGGGTGGTCTGATGATATATGTCATCATCTAAATATACACCTCTCTTGACCTGGCAGATCTGCCCCTTGGAGTGTTTTCTAAGGCCGAAACTGACACCTGTCTGATGTGTGTGCAAAGACGATCGTTGCAGCACTGTTAACAAGAGTGGTAATCTGGAAGCAACTTAAATTTCTATGAGTGGAGGGCTGGTTTAATTAAGTTTAATAAATCCAAACAATGAAGCTATTAAATAATGGCAGTGGAGACCACCATTACTTATTAACACAAAACAGTTGCTGTGATACATAGTTAGGAGGGAGGCAAACACAGGTTGCATCTACATGATCCTTCAAAAAAATTGCATATATACCCCAGGTATACAGTTGGCTCTTGAGGGCTTGCTTCATTTGGTCCCTCTGAGGCCCAGTGCATGTTGGGGGGCAGGAGGCTGGTGCGCTCAGGGTGACAGGTGCTCAGACCTTTGCTCAGCACAGGGAGGCCAAGTGAGCTCCTCACTGGCCACCAGTGGCTTCCTGGGCTTGGGCACATGTTCTCAGAAACCATGTGGCAGCTGTGCAAAGACAGGGTGGCCTTGGCAGTCACAGCAGCTCCCTCCTCTCTAGGCACCCAGTCTGCAGGACACTTAGAGTCCATGGTGATGTCTGCCCTGCTGAGGCTTTACTCACTCAGCCACACTTAGTGAGCATCTACTTTGCTTCTGTAAACACTGGGATGAGACTCTGGGGCCTCCAGTGTGGAATAGAGGCCAATAGAATGGTGGGCTGGCCTGGGGCGAGTTGCTTAAGTTGTCAGAGCCTCGGTTTTCCCATCTGGAAAGTGGGGATAATAAGAGCTTCCTCAAAGAATTTCTCACTAGATGCTTTTGGGAATGGGGAGGAGACTTTAATTTTGCACTCTGTGAATTTTAGACCATGTATACACGCTGTCAATTCAAATAAATACTTCCCATAGGAGGGCCATGAGAGGACCGGAAAGGATTTTTTAAAGGGGGCTCCATGAGCCATTCAACCCCTTCGAGCCAGAGACAGGGTTGGGACTCAATGGCACTGTGTCTGGCACTCTGGAGCATAAAGAGATGACTCATGATAGTTGAGTGATTCCGGTGCTGCACAGTTAGGTGCTGAGTCTACACAGACCAATTACTAGGATTGAGCATCTGTAGGAAAACTTGTTGAGTAGATTCCAAGTGGGAAACACCACTTGCTGTTTTTTGGCTCTGATGGAGAACTCTTTGTATATTGGCACATTCAAGGCTCTGAGAAGTCCTGCAGTAATGCTCGGTTTAACCACCTAGTGCTTCCCAAGTGTACATGATCAAGAACCTTTTTGTGTGTGTGTGTGGGGGGGGGTCCAGTCCATGTTAACATCTCACAGAATTAATGTACAGAGGAAGACTGAGGATTAGGAAAACTTGTCCTAGAGAGAAGCAGGGTACCCTCTGGCCTTCTGATTTTAAATTATCTCTTTTGAGGGATGCTTGAGTGACTCAGTTGGTGAAGCATCCAACTCTTGATTTCGGCTCAGGTCATGATCTCAAGGTTGTGAGATCAAGCCCCGTAGTAGGCTCCACACTGGGCGTGGAACCTGCTTAAGACTCTCTCTCTTATCTCCTTCTGCCCCTACCCCCTCTCCTTCCTTCCTTCCTTCCTTCCTGAATGAATGAATGAATTCTGTATTTTGAGTAGGGAACATATTTTGAGTCCACTAGTTGCTAAACTTCCATGTTTGTCAGATGAGAGGAAGAGGGTGATCATGATAATCACAAGCATCACATCTGTAAAATGGCTGCTCATACCTGGCACTGGGCCATGGGACCTTACATTCATTCAAGAGTTTGGTCCTTGGGCAGCCCCGGTGGCGCAGCGGTTTGGCGCCGCCTGCAGCCTGGGGTGTGATCCTGGAGACCTGGGATTGAGTCCCACATCAGGCTCCCTGCATAGAACCTGCTTCTCCCTCTGCCTATGTCTCTGCCTCTCTCTCTCTCTCTCTCTCTGTGTGTGTGTGTGTTTATAAATAAATAAATAAAATCTAAAAAAAAAAAAAAAGGAAAGATACAAAAAAAAAAAAAAAGAAAAAGAGTTTGGTCCTTAGGATGCCTGAGTGACTCAGTCAGTTGAGTGTCTGCATTCAGCTCAGGTTGTGATCTTGGAGTCCTGAGATTGGGCCCCTCATCGGGGTTCCTGCTCAGTAGGAAGGCTGCTTCTCCCTCTGCCTCCTGTGATTTCTCTGGCTCTCACTCTCTCTCAAATAAAATAAAATCTTAAAAAAAAAATCTCATGGCTGCTCTATGAGGTGGGCACTGTTCCTACATTCCCCCTACTGATGATGACACTAGGGATCCGGAAGGCTGATGTGTCCAAATCTCACAGCTGCCAGGTGACAGATCCAGGGCTCAAACCCAGGCTGTTTGCTCTAGCAAACCAAGGCTTGCTCTTCCCTGAGAAGGCCACATTCCTTCACACTCTCCTGATCTTACTAAATACCCTGAATATATTTACTTCAGTGGAAAAGAGATTATGGAGTACTTGGTGTTTCTTGAAGTAGGCATTAAGAATTCAGGGGTCTTATCTCCGTGCTGCTCTGAATTCTAATCTGGGGTTCTCAGAGGTCTGCCCCCCCGCCCCGTGCCTTCCCAGACATAGTCTCATCCCTGGGGAGCTCTCTGGGACAGCTTTGAGTACTGTGTTGTCACCCAGCCCTGGCTCGCTCTGCCCCAGAGCCTTGAGGGAAGGGGCGGCAAGAGGAATGCAAGTGGCATCTACTGAGTGTTAAGCACTTTCCAACAGGGGAGGAGGGCGGGTGTGCGTGGGAGCATGACACAGGGAAGGCTGCTCTGCAACCCTTGCTCTAAGCAGATGTCACCCCTGCCAGGTCTGGAAGAGGTCAGGGGCCTGGTTCTACAAAGGGCTCCCCAAGTACATCCTGCCACTGAAGACCCCCAGCCGGGCTGATGACTCCCACTTCCGACCTTTGCCCATGGAGCCCACGGAGCCAAAGCCCAGAAGCATTGAGACTAGTCGCATCTACACATGGGCCCGAGGGAGAGGTAAGTCCCCTCTGGCCTCCTCTACTGGGAGAGCAACTGTCCGCTAGCCGGGCAGTGCCATGGGCACCAGGCCAGCGTCTGTCATACCCTCCAGGTGGCTCGTACTGGTGCTTCGTCCCTCCCTGTGCCCTTGTGTGGGCAGCGGGGCCTTAGCACAGTGACTGCTCGCAGCAGGAGGATCCACTGGAGGCCATTTCACAAACAAGCGCTAATTTGGGGCTGGGGATGCTGTGAGCACTATGGATCTTTGCAGAAATGTGATTCCCTCAAGGTTTTTTGCAGAGTATGAAAATGCATCTTTCCAAAGTTGGCCCGTACCATCTCTTCTTGGTGCTTGTCTTGCATCTCAGTAAGGGAAGACTCCTGGAGTCCCTGGTCCTAATGAGCAAAATGACTTCATGCCCAGGGCCCTTTGGTATTCATGGAGGTTACGCTACTGTGATTGCATCCCGGGCAGCCGCTGTTAGAAGGGGAGCTCAGCCCCACCAGCGGGAGCGTTCCTGATGTGGTAAATGACCCTCCACAGCTTGCATGAGGCTTGCATGTTCATGATTTTAATTTTTAAAATTCTCATCTCACAACAGGCTCCGGAGGTGACCAGGGCAGGTATTTAAGTCCTGTTTTGTGGATGTGTAGCCTGAGGCCCCAAGAAGAGGAGGCACTTACTGAGCCCCTGTATGGCTGAGCTGAGACCAAAAGGCAGCGTCCTGTCCTCTGGGCCCTGGCTCCTTCTGTCCTAAAGGGTCCAAGTTTCAGCCCAAGACTTAGAGACTGAGGGTCCTTAATGAGAGAGAGCAGTCAGAGGGACAAGCAGCTTACCTGATGCTGGGGCGGGCAGGCAGACATGAAGGGCTCTTAGAGATTTCTGTCTTTGGATTATGAGTTGGCATCTATCTTTATCTCGTTTGGGCTTTTTTTCCTCTCTTGTTGCAAAAGTAAGGTGTGTTTATTATAAAGTGTTGAAGGTTGTCAAATGATACTATGTAGAAGGTAAAAATCTGCTATAGGGAAAAAAAAATCTGCTATAGGGCAGCCCCTTCAGACAGGACTGGCATTAACAGCTGGGCCTCTGTTCTCCTGAAACCTCCTCAGCATCCCCCGGCTCTTTCTGCAAAGGGCCCTCCTCCCTAATTCTTTCGGACTCCATTTGCACTTCTCATTCCCATAAGTTTGCCTCTCCTGCCATCACTGCCATGGCAAAGCCCTTGTAGGACCATGGGCAAGTGTGGGTGGGCCCTGGGCCGGCAGGCAGAGGAGCAAGCCCTGCTGGGACTGGCCCCCGGGAGAGGAGCCCGAAATGGGGTTTGATGGGGAAGGGGCTCCCTCCTCTACTCAGTCCCATTTCCACCCTTGAGCTGGGGCTTTCTCCTGCCCCATCCCTGTCAGGGCACATCTTTGTCCCTCGGGCTCAGGGGGGACATTGCAGCTAGGGAAACAGAATGTGGCTTCAAGTGGGTTGGGGTGGGGGGCCCTGTCTGCTCAGACTCAGCGCAGAGCACGCATCCATGCACACACACATACACACACACCCCTGGGGAAGGCAGAGCCTCCATCTCCTCGGTCACGCAGGCACAGATGGCCTTTTAATAATGCGAGCGAGGAGGCCAGTGGCCCACATGCTTGCAGCCAGCACGGCTTATTAACTGAGTTTGCACTGTGGCCAGGCTAGGCTATGTGGAGGTCCCCCTGTGAACTTGAGCTCCTTCTGCAGATTGAGTCAGAGGCCTCCAGGCCCCCAGAGCATGAGGCAGCACATCTTTCCTGCCAGGTCCAGGGCCCGGCGGCGTGTTGCAGCTCTGTGACCGCCCGCCTTTTCCTGCCAAGCAGGAGGAGGTGGCCCAGATGGATGACCTATGTGTCTTGCCTGTGGGCAGCAGAAGGGTGAGGGCTGCTGACCCCAGGCTGGTTGGGGAGGCCCAGGGAGCATCTGCACACACCCAGAAATGGGACACACTGGGGGTGCATGGGGGTACCTGAACTCAAGGAAACCCACAGTCAAGAGGAGAGGAAGGAAGAATCGGAGCTGGCAGAGGAGACAAAGTAGGAGGCATTGCTGAGGAGGGAGGAGGAAAACCAAGAGATTCTAAGCCACAGGAACCAGGGAACCAGAGCACCAGGCATTTGCAAGGAGGGGGCCACTAACAAGCCAACTGCTCCTGAACAGCTTCCATGCCTGATCCTGTGGTCCTCTGATTGGCCTATGTGGAAGCCAGGATCTGTGCTTTCCTTTTTTTTTTTTTTTTAGATTTATTTATTTATTTATTCATGGGAGACACACACACACACACACAGAGAGAGAGGCAGAGACACAGGCAGAGGGAGAAGCAGGCCCCATGCAGGGAACCCGACGTGGGACTCGATCCTGGGTCTCCAGGATCAGGCCCTGGGCTGAAGGCGGCACTAAACCGCTGAGCCGCCCGGGCTGCCCAGATCTGTGCTTTCCAATTGAGTTGGGGTCCCCTGGCCATCACAGACATGGCCATGTACTCACAGAGGCATTCAGGTGACTACTGGACACCTGTAGGAGACTAGAGGCCCTAGACCAACTGGAACCATCCTTATAGCCTTCCTTATAGCTGGTTTTCGGAAGCCCTTCTGTGGCTTTCTGGTGGTGTACGTGGCCTAGAGGTCAAGTCTGTGGCATCCGCAAAGGAAATGTTGGCCTGGCCTGTCTGGGAAGTCTCCCAAGCTGGGGGGGCTGCTGCCTCAGCCCCAATTCCTTTTCAAGCTGGTCTCCAGGCTGTCAGACTCCTGACAGCAGACAGCCCTAAGCTGGCAGCCTTGGGAGGCTGGCGTGGGGGCATCCCTGGGCCTTCCCAGACCACTGACAGCTGGGGAGCCAATACGCATTTTTCTGGCTCCAAGAGTGACTTCCCCTCCCCCGCCCCACCATGATGCCTGGGTGCCTGGCAGCTGGCTGGGGTCAAAGCTGTAGTTTGTGGTCCAGATTAGGACCTGTCGGGTAAGCCCAGCCCAAACTGAGCTCAGGGCCAGGCAGAAATACAGTGATCCGCATTGGGGTGTGGACCCCCACCACCCTGGAAGCTGCCTATGAGCAGGGCCCTGTCTGTCCTGAATAGGCCAATTTCTTACCACCTAGCATGGGAGAGGCATGGGACAGATGCTTCTTAGGTCAATGCGTGGATGAAGGGATGGATGAACCACCCACTCCCTGATAAAATATTTGAAAAACTGTAGAAGGATTTTCCTTAGGGCCTGCAGGCTTCCCTGGATCAGAGTTCTGTTAGGCAGCCCCAAGAGACCCTTGAAGACTATTCAAACCACCCCCACTCCCAGGCTCTGCCTCTGGGAACCCCGGGTCATCATCCCTCTCCTGCCCCACCACAGTCCCTGCTTCCCAGGGAGAAAGCTGCTCCTGCGGGTGCCTGAGTGGCTCAGTGACCTCTGGGAACCCCAGGGTCATCATCCCTCTCCTGCCCCACCACAGTGCCTGCTTCCCAGGGAGAAAGCTGCTCCTGCGGGTGCCTGAGTGGCTCAAATTTAGCATCTGCTCAGGTCATGATCTCAGGGTCCTGGGATCTAGCCCGACATCAGGTTCCCTGCTCAGTGGAGAGCCTGTTTCTCCCTCTTCCTCTGCCCCTCCCCACCCTTGCTTGTGTGTTCTCTCTCTTTCTTTCTTCCTCTCTCAAATAAATTTTTAAAAAAAAGCTGCTCTCTTCTTCCCCCTGCCCCTGTTCTTCCCTTCCTCTCTCACTCTTTCATTCTCCCTCTCTCTCTCTCTCTGCCTCTGTCTGCCCTTGCACTCGTACACCTGTGACCTCCAGCTTCTTCCCCAGTCCACCCCACCCTGCTTTCTTTCTCGTGCCCTGTTACAAGAGGAAGAATAATCAACAGATATAAGCCATGAACTTTTCAGGCCATAGGTCAATCAGGTAATATATATTGATGTTTTTGAGGCAGGTTCCTTTTCTTTCTCCTTTAAATTTTTTATACTAATTTTTTAAAAAGATTGATTGATTGATTTTAGAGTGTGAGTAGGGGGGAGGGACAGAGGCAGAGGGAGGGAGAGAATCTCAAGCAGACTCCACACTGAGTGCGAAACCCAAAGTGAGGTCAAAGTGAGGCTCAATCCCACAACCTCAAGATCATGACTGGAGCTGAAATCAAAGAGCCGCTTAACAGACTGAGCCACCCAGGTGCTCCATGTTGATTTTTAATTACATAAGTATACATAATATATTTTAACAAGTTAAGCAATTCAAAAATGTATGAAAATTTAAAATCTCTTCTGTTTGCTGTCATCCCCAAGCCCCTTTGTCCCTATTCCTACAAACACTTTATGTAGGATTGGTTCTTTGTTTTATTGCTTTTAACAACAAAAATAGGTTCTTACCTATAACTCTGCATGTTACTTTTTTCACTTAAAAGAACATCATGAACATCCCTCCAGATTAATAGATATTTTACTTTATTCTTTTTCATGTTACCATGTATTATGATTTAATTTTTTATGATTTAATTATTCATCTATTGATGGACATTTCAAATTGTTTCTGGCTTTTCACTGCTGCAGGCGATACTGAGAAGTCTTTAAGTGTATATGATGCTTTTATTTCCATGGGGTGGGTTTCCAAAAATGGGATGTGTGTTTCAAATTTTCATACACATTTGAGGTGGCTGGGTGGCTCAGTTGGTTGAGTATCTGACTCTTGATTTCGGCTTAGGTCATGATCTCAGAGTTCTGGGCTCGAGTCCCATGGCAGGCTCCAAGTCTGCAGGGAGTCTGCTGGAGATTCTCTCTCTCCTGCCCCTCCCTCCTGCTTGTATGTGTTCTCTCTCTCTCTCTCTCTCTCTCTCTCTCTCTCTCTCTCTCTCTCTCAAATAAATAAATCTTGGTGCTTGCTTTGGTAGCACAGATACTAAAAATTACCTGTTTTAATCCATTCCTCATTTTTTATTAAGTGGTTTATTTTCTCATATTAATTTGTCAGTGCTGCTTTTGTGTTAGGGATGGTAAATGGCTAGCAATGCTTTCCTCC